CCCCAAAACCCCAAAACCCCAAAACCCCAAAACCCCAAAACCCCAAAACCCCAAAACCCCTTTAGTTTTGAATAATATTATTATTAACCCAAGAAGATGAATTCTGTCTCTAAACCTACAGAGCCCAGTCACAACCAGGATCCTTCCCAGTCACAAGAAGGAGTAACTGTAAGTCTTCACGACCTAAACGGGAGATGGCTTAGTTGGGAGAGTAATGGGATTTTTGAGAAATTTAGAAGGGATTTATGGGGAAATGGAAATTTAGGGAATAGGATTTTGGAAGGGGAGGGGTTTTTGGGATTTTTGGGATTTTTGGGATTTTTTAAGATTTTATAAAGGATGAGTGAAGGAAGGGAGGAGATGGGGGAATTGAGGGGGGTGGAGATGGGGTGAATGATGGGAGGGTGAATGAGGATTGTGGATGTGAGAGGAGTGTTTTTGAGCATCAGAGTTGTGGTGAAGGGGGTAGGAGTCGTATTCTCATATCTCAAGAACAAGTGATGGAAAGTGGTTGTACTGAGGAGTTGCAAGATCCTACAGATAATGGACTAAATACATCTGAATTAGAAATTAACCATCAATGCGATGAATTTAGAAAGAATATCAAAGAAAAATTGGGCAAAAGATTAGAATCTCTAAATAAAAATCTTGAACCAGTAGATTATTCTTATCCAACTCAAAATTTCACTGAATCAATCTCAAAATTAAAACAATCTCAAAAACTAAAAACCTCGAAACTCACAGATCAGATATCTACTCTTTCCGATCATCTTCAGACTGTAGGATCCACTCATGACCTCAAAAACAGAGAATTTCTAGAATTACGAACTCTAAACAAATCGTATTACCCAAAATTACCAAATATAGTATCAAAAATTCTCTTCTTCGCCCTCAAAAATCAGTTTCAAATTCTACCCTTCAAGTACTCCAAAATGAGAACCAAAATCTTCGCCAGAAGCTCAAAATGAAAACCCTTAATATCACAATTATCAGAAATGATGTCCAAAAGGCTCAATCTGATCACCGTAATTCTCTAAATCTTCCTCATTGTAACTGTTTTAGATGATCTTCTCAACTCTGAATTTGAAAAAATCCAGCTTCGCCAAGCACAGCTTGGTGCTGTTGAGTTGGAACACGAGCAAACCAAGTACAGACTTCTGCTTAATTATAGACAACAAGTATTACATCACAAGAACGATCTCAACAAAACTGACCGAAATCAAAAATTATTAACAATTAAGGAGAAGGCAACCAAGCAAAAGCTAGAGTTAATCAAGGATAAAGGAAAAGGACTCAGAAACCAACTAATGGAAGTTGAATCTGTTTTAGCACCAAAGATAGAAGCTCTGCATGAGAAGTTAGACAACCAGAAAGTTGATATTGCGGACTTACAACAACAGTATCAGAAAACAGACCAAGAAAACGAACTCTTAAAATAAAATTTTGGCTAAACATCAGAAAATGGCTGAAGCTTTGAAAGGATATGTAAAGAAATAAAGAAAAGCTTCGTAAAAAGTATGCATCATTAACTTCTGATCATTCGCTCATTGATCCTTCTCAAAACCCTCAATATATGCTTTTTAAGGAATCTACCAACATAGACAATGCTATGGCTCACTTGATTCCTAAGGAGAATTCTTTTGGACATCATAATCCGGAAATTCTTTCTTTACTAGAGAAAATTCTAGAGGTTACTTCTCAAACTTCTGGAATTCAAGTAGATACCGACTTTCACAACCAAATAACAGACATTTGCAAAGTCCCTAAAATTTCAAAGGAAATATCTGAAATCTCCAAAGAAATTGATGCAATGAAAGAAAAGAAGAGCGCGATAGAATCTAAGATCCAAACCTTCGATGATGAGATTGGAGATTTAAATGAAAAATTACAGAATAAAGAAAGCAGAATCAAAGAGCTTCAAGAACTTTTGGACCAATCAACTGAGATAAAACTTAGGTCCAATCACAAGAAGAACCATAAGAGTGAGGCTGATATATCTCTTACTTCAAAGAAATTGAGCATTCCTATGAGACTTTCTGACCTCACTGAACCTCAGAAGGCTGATGTTAAGAGCAAAAGAGTCGAAGAATGGACTAATAAATACAAGAAATTATTTAGAGGAGCTGGGAAAGTAAAGAATATCAAGACCAAAGTCGTCAATAGAAAAGAGCCTAAGCCTCACAAAAGAGTTGTCACTGAAATCCTCAAAGGTAATCCTGAGATAACAAGGTCAAGATCTGGAGGAAAACTTAGAAACTCTAAAGGCATTCAGAATTTCAGATCATTTAATATGCACAAAGAGATACGGAAGACACCGAAATTAGATAAGCTTATGATTGATGTGCCTCCTCTTCCAATACTTTCTGAGGCTAAGACAAAAAGCATTGGTTCAAACTTTTTGAGTCCGAATGATCTGTTTCGATATAAGCTAGAGCCTAAACAATATTATGATGATATTTTAAACCCTTTCAGGACAAGAAACCATAAGAACCATATGAAAACAGGCTCTCATGCGTAAACTCTATTACTAAACTTTTAGATCATCAAGGAGATCCCCTTCGTGAAGCTCTCGAAAGTCTTCAATGTGGAGTGAAGTCACTGTACAACCTAATTTTCAAGAAATACTTGATAAAGTGAATGAAATGACTGACATTGTAAAATTCACCCATATCCAAGGAAATATGTTCCAATATGGAACAAAGCAAGTTTATTTGATTCACAAATCAAAATGCATTTATGCTCGCACTGGAGGAGGATACATCAAAGTCAAAGAATATCTGAGGAAAAATAAAACGATCGAAGAAAGAAAATTGTTTGGTAAATTAACCACGATAAATTTTAGGAAAAGGACATATCAAGCGATTGAACTTTGCAAATATTTCAAAGAGGAAAAAATTCCAGAATCTCACCCCTAGAGATGTCCCAACTATAAAGCTAAAAAGTAGTGATACTGTCCGGAAAGAGTATTCCGACAAAATCCTTGATACAATTCCTGATGATAAGTAACGCTCATCTTTACAGTTCAATTAATTTATTTTTAATAGGGGTTTTGGGGTTTTGGGGTTTTGGGGTTTTGGGGTTTTGGGG